GAGCTGCGGCTGGCTCCTGGGGAGCGGAGGGGAGGCCCTTGCTGCTCTCCAGCCACCCTTCACAAGCCCTGGTACCTACAACAGGCTTTCGGCGTGGACGCGGAGGAGCACAGTGTCATCCTGCAGCGGGTCAAGGAACTGGAGGTACGGCAGCAAGGCGGCGTCTCCCCGGTGTGCTGCTGCTGCCCAGGAGGGTCCCCACACCGGGGTGGTGCCGGGGGGGCTGCGGTGCCTCGCAGCCCCTCTGTTTGGGCTTTGGGGTACAGGGGATGTGTTGGAAATGTTGCTCAGGAGCTGTTTGTTGGCCTGAGCAGCAGCCGGCAACGAAATACTTCTCGAACCCCATCCTTCCTTATGGGGTCAGAGACGTCACATTAAGCATTTATTAATTTTTTTTCTTTCTTCTAGAGACCAATTTTTTGCCTGAAAGCAACCGTGAAGGAAGCCAAGGGGATTCTGGGGAAAGACGTCAGCGGTAAGTGGAGATGGGTGGGTATCCCGGTCGGAGAGGGGACAACTGCTGCTCCCGACAGGGACTTGCACGCCTCCGCTCTCGCAGGGTTCAGTGACCCGTACTGCCTGCTGGGCATCGAGGCCAAGAGCCGGGAACCAGCCCACCCCGACCACAAGAAGCGGATGAAGGCCGTGGTCAAAGACCTCATCCCTGAAGACCAAATCCATCGCACACAAGTCATAAGCCAGACCCTCAACCCGGTGTGGGATGAGACGTTCATCCTGTAATATGCCACCCCTTGGCTTTGCTTGTTGGAGGGGTGCCCAGGGCTCACGGGGGTGGATGGGGGGGGTTCACTGCTCGGCCCAACCCAGAGCTGGGGCTCTGCTCTGGCAATGCCCCCTGGGTCTTGCCATGCTTCTGTTCTGACCCATTCAGCAGGTCCAGGGAGGTGAAAAACAAAAGCGTGGCAAAAATCCCTCCCTCGGGGCTCCCCCACCGCTTCCCCACGCTGTGCAGGGGGTTTGGGCTGTCCCCAGGGAGGGACCACCCACCTTTCCGCCCCGGCTGTCCTGCCCATTCGCGGCCAGTCCCTCGGGCGCTGCTCCAGTAACGGCGTCCCGCTGGTGCCTTGCAGGGAGTTTGAAGACGTGGAGACGGCCAGCTTCCACCTGGACATGTGGTGAGCGACAGCACCCCTGGCCAGCGACCCCAACCCCCGGCCCTGAGCGGGGTCCTGCCTCCTGGGAGGGTCCCTGGGGTGGTCCTTCAACGTGCACCCTTTAAAAAGCCCCGGAAACTGACTGGGGACCCCTTTCCCCACTGCTTTCTGCGGGAGCAGTGCACAGTGCAGGATGCGACCGGTGTGAGCAGAGCGAGCCCAGGCTGGCTTTGCCTCTGTTATTTATGGCAAAAAGAGCCATGTGCTTGTGGATTTTGGCTGGACAGATGGTTTTAGGGGTGGCCTCAGTCCCAACATGTTTTCCCTCCTTCTCTGCTGCCCTTGCGGCTCCCTGGGCTATTTTGCCATCACCTTGGGTTTCACCGCGCGCAGGGACTCGGACATGGTAGAGTCCGTGCGGCACAAGCTGGGGGAGCTGACGGACCTCCACGGCCTCAAACGGTAGGTGCTGGCATGGCCCCAATGACTGCTGAGGAAAGAGGGGCTGGAAAATGCTAATTTGCCTGCTGGATTTTAAAAATTGCCTTTGGAAGGAGGGAGGGAGGAAGGGAGAGCGGTTTCACCGCGCGCAGGGACTCGGACATGGTAGAGTCCGTGCGGCACAAGCTGGGGGAGCTGACGGACCTCCACGGCCTCAAACGGTAGGTGCTGGCATGGCCCCAATGACTGCTGAGGAAAGAGGGGCTGGAAAATGCTAATTTGCCTGCTGGATTTTAAAAATTGCCTTTGGAAGGAGGGAGGGAGGAAGGGAGAGCGGGCAGCAGGTCTGTGTTGCCCTTCTTCACTCCGACCATGGCTGGGTCATGGCTGGAGGAAACTTCCTCACCTCCGCCTTCACGCTTTCAGGATCTTTAAAGATGCTCGCAAAGACAAAGGGCAGGATGATTTCCTGGGGAACGTGGTCCTTCGCCTGAAGGTGAGTGCCACGGTGCCCCCATCTCCTCCAAGTGACTCCCCAGGCACTGGTTAAATCTCACGGGCTCCGGGCAGGACCCCAGCCCCGTGGCAGCACCGAGCTCACCCAGGATCCCTGCTCAGAGCTGTGAATTAGTGCCACGGACTCCAGCTCGGTGGCAGGTGCTCCGGGCAGTCCAACACACTCACTTGGTGGTCAAACATCTCTTTTTTTAATCAAATATTATGGTTACTCAATACAGCATGTTCCTGCCCCGTTAACGCAGCGGGACCTGGTCCTTGAGCGGGATCCTTCACCCCTGAAGGCTGCCCAGGGCTTCGCCCTTGTCTCTGTGCATGCAGGACCTGCACTGCTGCGACGACCAGTGGTACCAGCTGGAGCCACGGACAGAGACGTACCCCAACCGGGGACAGTGTCACCTGCAGTTTCTGCTGACTCACAAGAAGGTGGGAGTGGGTGGCCAAGGGGGTCCCTTTCCATTGCCTTGGCAGGACAGGATAGCTGCCCGTCTCCTCACAGATCCCTGCTCCAGAACCAGAGGTGCCAGCACCAGGGTTTGCACGTGCTGGAAACCTGCTTGACCCTCTGCTGAACTCCACACCAGCATGGGGGGCCCTCACCCCTGCTGCACCTGCACCCCTTGGCGTGGCTTCAGACAGGGCTGGCTGAACCCACGCTTTTTGGGTTCCTGGGTCCCTCCTCACTGGTTGTGTTCAGGCAAGTTACGGTTGTTTCTTCTCTGCTTCGCCTCTTTTCAGAGGGCCACCAATAGCAGCCGGACACAGCCGAGCTACACCGTCCATCGCCACCTCCTGCAGCAGCTGGTGTTTTACGAGATCCTTCAGCACCAGGTACCGAGGGGCAGAAGCAGCTCTCCAGC